GTAAAATGGCAAAGATGAGTATTGGGGAGGAGACGACTACAGAAGTACCTCCTGATTCAGTCTGCTCCTTCTGCGATGTCTACTCGCCCACTTACGCCTCTTGTTGGCCTTCACCACTGCTTAAATTGGAAGGGGTCGGCACCGATAACAAGCTTTACATCACCACTGCACCGCCCACCGCTGATACAACTGGCATAAAGAGCGTACCTGCATCGCCACCTGAACAGCGCTCGGTTACACTTACACCGGAACCAGTTTCTGTAGGCGATGCGTCAGAGGTGGCGGCGGCTCTGATTGAGACTCAGGCAGGGGTCTCACCCTCTCCCTGTTCTAACAGTATCAACTCTTCAAAGCACTCGGTGTTACGGCATGTTTGGGATCGGTCGATTGTTGTTCCTCCTTCCCTCTCCTCTGTTCCTACCGTCTCCTCTGCATCGTCAGAAGTACAAAATTTTGCCGTCGCCGCTTCAGAGAAACAACTTTCCCAAATGGCACCATTTCAACCACCCCAGCCAAATCTCACCGCATCTCTCCCGCCGCTAAAACGATTCACCAACTACATGGCTTCTGCTGCTGCGGCCGCAGCAGCAGATTTTGGCGCTCCTGGCTTTAACTTTCCTTTTGTACGTCTCAACTTCCCTATTTGTGCTCATTTCTTTCTCCCCTCTTGTTGCAGGATAAGGAACAAATGCAGATTTTGATGCAGCAATACTTCTCAAAAACCTCGGAGGCCACACAGCAATTGCAACAGCAACAGCAACAGCAACAACAACAACAGCAACAACAACCGATGGAGCTAACGGCGAAAGCTAGAGCACCACCTTTACTACCACCACCACCGCCACTGGTACCGTCCGTCTCTGCTCATCTGCCGATGAGTGAGCCAAATTTGTTGGCCTCTGCCAAATGTTTCATTGCATCAGCCGATCAGCCACTAAATCTCAAAGGCACAATCAGGGCTACCACGCACGCACGAGGCACCTTCTACCCACCCACCGGAGTTCCCCCTAGCGGTCCTACGACCGCTATGCCTCGACAGCAGCAACAGGCGGCAGCGATGCCGTCCATGCGTAGCGGCGTCAGCGGTGCATCGGGCAGATACTCCTCCTCTGCC